CTCCTCTTGTGCAAACATTTAATGCAGTCTTTATGGGACTTATTTTATGCTTGAAGTTACATAAAATTCAAGTTCTTTGCTGGTTCCTCTTGAGCCCCTCAGAAAGGCCTGTTTGGCTGGAATCACCCCTGGAAACACACGAGGCTCATTCGGTGCTTACACCACTGTAACAACTCACTGCGGTCAGTAGCACATACATCAAAAAAGTCTTTCACAAAGCCAGAACTGGATATTCTGCCATCTGGCAGGAAGGAGCATCATTATTACCACGTCAGCACTATGTGGTGCATAATGTTGACTTGCAAACAGTGGGATGCTTTTTCTATTTCTGTGACTGCTGGCGCAGTGTGTGCTGGGAGGGCCAGTACTTATTTGTACGTATTTGCCCACTCATCTAGTAACGGATGGGACAACTGATCTTGCTTGTTCAGAGTGGATTAAAAACCTCCTGTAAGAGATTCTGGATTCTGATTTTGAGCAAAAGCACTGCAATTCAGTTTAAATCCCACTTTATGCGTCAGTATCGTATGTTAGAACTGTTTTTTGTTGTTGTTGTTGCTAGTAATTGATATTTTTAAATGTTGTTAATACATTTTGTAGACTTTTGCAAAGGATAGGTCAGAAAAATACATTCTCATATGGCTTTGCTTTTGTTAGTATGAAGTCTTATTGCAATATGAAATCCATATTGTCTTGAGATATTGAATTTGGAAATAGAAGTAAATTTCTGAGCTGCTTTCATGAAGGTGTTCATACCAATAATTTAGTTACTTTATTGCACAACTGAATATTATCATCATCATACCCTATGCCATCAACATGTTAGTTATGAAACTGGGGTTTTAAATACATCTTTTACTAGGGAAAAGATATCTTTTTATCTACTCTAGGGTTCTTCTCATTGATTCAAAATTTTTACTGAATTATGTATAGGAGCATTTGGTTCATGTTGAACAGGAAATATAGAGACCACTGATAAGACTATGAAGAAAATGACTTGCTAGCACATTTGAATTCCAGTAATTATTCGCTGAACAAATTGTGTGTACACACACACACATATATATATACACACACACACACTCAGACACACATACACTACACATTTCTAAAGATATTTTGGCAACATGAATGCTTTCCTATATATGTTATTGTCATCATATGTATTTGTAACTCAGATGTTTTCTTCTATATTTGTAATCATTATTACATCATCATTATGTGTTCATTTATTTTGGCATCCTCTCATACCATTTGGCACAATCTGTAAAAAAGAAGCATTTGACCAACACCTCATACTAATATTCACTGGTTTTTGCCTTGTTTATTTTTTCTTAAACACAGAGCTTCCAACGTTTGTTGGAAGTTTGCTTCCAATGCATGATGCAATCTGTTTCACACTGTTTGAAGTTTTGATATTGTGTTTTTTTTCAGTTAGAAAATTTATTTGGAACTTTTGTTGCAATATGAAGAGTGTAATGAGGAGTTACTGTTGAGGAAACGTGCTAAATTTTTCATGAAAAGCAATAAACACTTGACCAAAATTGGTAGCAGGTTGCAAACATTTTAGTCAGAGACTCAGAAATGTAGGTTCATCGTTGGTCAGTCTTTTCTGGGGCTAGGATTGTTTGGGGAAGAAAGCTGTGGCGTTGAACTTTGATTAAGAGGGAAAAAAAAATGTATATTACTGTCTATTTGAAGTATTTAAGAATTGGCTTAAAATTAGAGTTATGAAGTGCTTTGCTGAACTCAGCTCTCAGTGTAGCTGGCACATGGCTGACAGAAGGTAGGAGTAAGCCAGTCTCTCTCCTTACCTTGTTGCAGTACCTCTATTTGCCAAGCAAGGAAAGCAGAAGCTCTTCCTTTATTCTAGCTGTGCCCATTACCAGACTTCTAGCAGTGATCCCAAAAGGCACTTCTGTTGTCTCAGGAATCACATAATCCCATAGGGGACAAAAAATCATGATAATGACCAGCCAGTCCCCAAGTGTTTGGGACATGAGTAGTGGAAGGTGAGGGGAAAGACGAGGTTGCAGGTAGGTTGCTTGACCACAGGTGGTCACATAAACATTAACTAACTTTGTCTCTTAGATGAGCATTTCCTTTATAAATAAGTGTGAGTAATGTTTTCTTTTGGTATATCGCTACACTAGCTTCATTATAATTATTATTCATAATATAAACCTAGCTGCAGCATTATCAGAGGAAAATGCCACAGAGGGTAAAAAAATTGTATTCACTCACCTTAAATTGTAAGTACCCAGAACACTTGGCTGATGATGGGCAGAACTGGGTATTTTCAGCTCCAGTAGAAAAAAAATTCCTTTGGTATTAGGAGTTTGTTTTCATTATTTCTAGCATTGATCTCTGCTCTCATATTTTTGTACAATTTACTTTTTGTGGACAGTGTTTTCCTCTTTCGCTCCTGGCCTGCTCTTTCCAGTGTCCGTAATTTATAGTCTCTTACATGTGATATCCTAACACTTCCCAAAAGCAGCAGATCAGGCAGTTAGGGACTGTTTAGTACAAAGATGCTGAGAAACACTGGTTTATGAAAGAAGTGTGCATTACACAGTCCTGTGCCTACACAGCTACATTCAGTGCCCTTCAGACAAGAAAAAAAAGAAGTTGAGGGATTTTGCACTCATCATTCAATTTGTGCACCTGCAGTAGAGCTGGTAATGGTAATCTCACCTCTGTGTTTTTAAAAGTAAGAAATAAGTAGTTAAGATAGTTATATGTAAAATTTTTTTTACTGACTTTTCCTTTTGTGAGGGTTTCTTCATAACCAAATCGGAATACATACTCCTCATTATTTTGTCTTTTGGAAATAAAAACCTTTAGGACTAAAGTTTCTTTGTTCTGTTCTTATTCATCCCATTACAAGTTGCTTTCCTAGTACTGTTCCTAGCTTATTTGAGACCCAGTTCTTGTCCTATAAAAGCTAGCGGGAAGAGCTCCCAAATGCAAAACTCAGCAATTACTACTCTTTTGTGTGTCAATTTGTGATAATACTGTAATCCAATGTCTTCTGTACCTGCCCAATACTGCATTTATTTTTTGATGATACAGATTATTGAATGGTAAATAATTAATTCTCTCATTGATTAAGACAATATCAAGCTTAGCATGAGTCAGTTACCAGAGATTAATAGGACATTTCAGGTGGTGTCCCTAATTTCTTTAAAAGTTGCAGACAAGAAGAAACTGTTTTCTGTACCAAAAAGTCAATGGCAAACGTGGGTCTGTGTGCACTAGTACAGGTTTCTCATTGATGTAGGTAGACAGCTTTGCAAGACTGTTTCCATGTTTTGTGATATTTTGGCATTTATGGCATTTGTAATTATTAATTGCTCCTTAATCTATAGTTTGGTGTTTTTATTTCAAATTGTTGAAATATGCAGCGAATTTTTATTGCAGCAAGTGTCTTTCATTGACAGCATATATTTTGTATATTTTATATAAGTGCTTAAATCTTAGATGTTACAGCTGATTTTACAAATACTCTGCTTACCAATGTCTATTGAGGAGATCTGAGCTTTGATTAATGCATCAATTTAGTAATAATTCCTTAAACAGTTTTAAAACTGTGTTTCAGAAAATACTGGTATCCTGGCAGAGCAGTGAGGTATACATGCGTAGATCACATGTAGTTGAACAAACAGCTATTTTTACCTCATTTTCTCCTTGTGATACCTTTATATTCTATATATATAGAAATATTCTATATATATAGAAATATTCTATATTTGCAAAAAAAGTAAATCAGCTCCTTCTCTTTTCCTTTCCTTCTTACCAAGTTTCATCTTAGGTAACAGCAATACTTGAGATTTTACTCAGTGAAGCATGGCATTGAGAGTGCATCCAATACGTGTTGGAAGTAGGACTGAGGAGGCATCCTGGTTATTGCTGCTCTATGAGACAATAATTGTTGAAAGGTGCCCCTTTAAAAGAAGGATATTTTAGGCACAAGAGTAAGACTCATCGCTTGAATCTAACATCCAGAATCCCATTTGTTTTAGTGCTATAAATTTTTTAAAGATGCTTCCATTCTGTTTTGGAAGAAGCTGCTGTGAATCTGTCCATGGCAAGCTTTGCTAGCTGCTTTGCTAAGTGTCTGACCATTTAGGATACTGAGACAGTTTCTTCAAAGACAGACAGACATTAGAGAGAGAGAGAAGTGAGTTCCTTCTTCACAGGACACAGAGTTTAGCTCTGTGAATAAGAAGTTGGTGAGTGGCCCTCTCCTACCTGTAGCTCCGTCGGGTCATACAGATCTGTTCTAAAAGAGTCAAGTACTGAAGGCCTTTTTCTGCCTGATCCTGTTACCTCAGCTCAGGTATGACTACTTCATAGATGGTGAGAGTGCAAGTATTGCCTTCTCATTGGCACCTCTATGGGAGGGTTCATGTGACTGTGCTAAAAATGTCTGTCACTTTGGCAGAGTGAAAAATCCGTCCTTGTTAATCACTGCCAAACCCCGTCTTCATCATGAGTGAGTTAACGCAAATGAATTACTTTGCTTTAAGGGAGCTTTCGATGTGATGTAAAACACAATCACTTGAATATGGTTAGATTTCAGTGAACGAGTAATTAATCTTCAAAAAGAGCACAGCAAAAAAGGGACCCTGAAAGGCAAGTTTGATCCCAAAGCTTTGAGTTTTAGATAGGCTTACTGCCACAATTTCGTGCAAGCTGTAGAAGTCAATGGCTAATTTTGTTCTGTTTACATAGGAGCAGTTATTTTATTTTGTATTTATTTTCCATTGAGTGTTTGAAACATGTTTTATACTGACAGATTTTAGTGAGTCAGCCAACATGAAATGCTGAAGGGAAGGTTTTGATAAGAATGTTAATTTTTTTGTTCAGGAAGTATATTGAGTTGAAAGATGTTTGTTTATATTTAGAAATGAAAAATGTCCTTCCTTCTGTTTATGGTTAAGTTGATTTTTTAAATATTTTATTTGATTTTAATATTTAATGTTCTTAATTTCTTAAAGCCAAAGCCAACTGAAACAGTCACAACTGATGAGTCAGGGGTAAGATTAGTATATTGACCCCAGTGGTTTTACCTCTACTTGAGTTTATTCTTTTTACCATGTCTATTTTCCACCAATTTTTTCTGTATTTTTCATAACTGTCTTATGACAAAGGTGTTATGCAGTGGTTTGCATTCATTGTCAATGTACTATTCAAGTCTACTACAAACAAACCCAGTATGATCCTTATTAACAAACCAGAAAACTTGGAAATGCATGTGATGTGTGAAGCATTTCTACAGGTCCTGTGTTTTTAGCATGTATTTTTCCTTTCATATCATGCTTATCAAGGTGAAAAGACATTCAAGACACATTTTCAAATCTTACCTCTTCCACCTTTGCATTTGATGTTGTTTTTCTGGAAGTGTTGCATGTTTGAGTTTGTATTTGGTTTGACTTCTCCATGATGCTCTTCAGAACTCTGAAGACAGCGCTAGAATCTCCATCACTTTTTTCCGTCTCTTCCGGGTGATGAGGTTGGTGAAGCTGCTTAGCAGAGGAGAAGGAATCAGGACTTTACTGTGGACATTTATTAAGTCATTTCAGGTTAGCAACATTTATTTAGATATGCTTTGTAATTACAACCATTTATACACCAAATTTTATGAAGCAGTACCGTGTAGAGTGTAAAAAACTCATGCTATCAATATTGGCGTATTTAAATGTATTTGCATACTAATGCCAAAATAACTTCTGCAGTTACTTCAGTGAATCCAAGGGTCATTCTTTGTTGTATAATATTGGCTGTTACCATGAGATTTCTACAGTACTTCATTTAAAAATATTTGGTATATCTGAAAGGGATAGGATAGGCTTGACACACACAAGTCTCATGCTTCCATATATTTTATTAGATGACAACAAAAGTAATTTAATTTAATCTACTGTTTATATATAAAACTGATTTCATAAGTGTAACAAATAGATACTTGAAGCCTTGCTTCTGACAACTCTGATGAATGTGAAGTTAATGGAACTCTCTAACTATAGAAGAAAGTATCTTTGTCAGAATCAGTAATGAAAAGAAAATCAAAAACTGCTGAAGCTGATTCTTTCCCCCTGGATTACTGGCAGAAATAATTTAAACTATAATGAAGCTTTTGTTCATTGTATGCAGCAGAATATTAAGAGTGACAGGTAACAACAATTCAAGCACTTGCATAGGATTGAAAAACCTTGGAAAAGCCTGTGTTGTACAGATAAAGTATTTTTGTAAGTGTAAATTGAAATTATGGTGTGAAACTACTGAAAGACAATGCACGTGTCCCATTTCTAGGCTCTGCCTTATGTTGCCCTTCTGATAGCCATGCTGTTCTTCATCTATGCTGTCATTGGAATGCAGGTAATTATAGATTTATTTTTTTTTAGCATTAAATGTATGGTGTTGGCTGCTCTGAGGCCTGTTTGCTACGGTGCTTCTTGAAACATTCCTTTGATAGTGGTGCTAGATATAAGGCAGAGTAACGTAAAAAATCCTTATCTGAGTATGATTTTGGTAGTCAGAAAATTAAAAAAAATGCAAGAGAAGAGCTTGCTGTGAGTTTATAGTATCTTGGTTTGCTGAAAAGAGCCACTCATCTTTGTGCACTGTAAAGTTAATTCCTATGCATGAATGTATGAAAGAGTACATTACTTTTTTCTTACTATAAACTGGTTTTGGGAATTGAGTATTAAATCTCCAGTTTTTTTGGTGGTTTTTTTTTTTGTCTTTCCCATATGAGAAGAATAGAGCTAGGAAAAGACTCTAGCTGAGGATTTAGGCACACCTGAGTCTGTGTTTAATCAAGAGTAGATCTATATACAAGACATACAAGCACAGAAAGGATTTTGGTAACTTGAAATGTCAAAATGTATGGTTGGGGTGAAGGTGCCACTTCTCATGCCAGCAGCAGTGCTGTGAGGGCAGAACAGGTTCTCCAGTCTTTGTAACTGGAGATAGCTAGATAGGAGAAACCTGTCAGGAAACTCTCCTAAAATTCATACTGCTGAGTCTTTTCTAGTGGGAGGATGGGACAGCAGTTGGAGAGGGCACTGCACAGACTGCAGGAAAGCTGCAGGTAAAGGCACTGGGTATGAAACTGTGATCAGGAGCGTGGTTTGAGTTGCAGGGTAGCCTCTGTGCCACACATGAGATCCAGTGCTTGCCTGAGGAGGTGCCTCAGGAGCATGGCCTTAGGATAGCTCTGCATTCCATAAAAATTTACAGATGTCCTCTTCTGTTCTCAAAGTTGTAAGGTTCTTCAAATCAACACCAAGTGAGGTTCTAATTAAATGGGATGAATAAAAGAAATATGCTACGGAGAGTGGTTTTGCTTCCAGTGGTTTTGCTTCTCTTCATCATTTATCTAAAAGCAATTTAATGTCCTTACAGGCTAGGAACATGTATACAGAGCATAATGGTGTTAATCTCTCTAAATTAAGTAACAGCCTTCACTGTATTTTAAGAGGACATAAATGTATTCTACTGGGGACAAAGAATGGTCTTGTGGCCAAGGAATTGCCACAGTTTTGAGGAACAGAACTAATTTCCATCTCTGGCTGATGAGACAGGATGTTCAGACTCTCTGTGCTTTGGTTTCTGCCTTTGCATCTCTTTCATTATTTAGATTTGAGGTTTTCAGGACAGCAATTATTTCTTACTGCAAGTATGTGCAAAATTTAGCACAGTAGGGCTTTAATATCAATAAAGGACTCTAGGTGCTAGTTTAAAACAAATAATATTTTTTTCATCTGAAATACGGGAATATATATTAGTGTTATAATGGTTTATTGGTGCCAAATTAAATTATTAAGAATCATCTTGTATGCGTGATAAATTTACTGCATTTACATTATCATCAGAAAAAATCTAAAGGGAGTAAAGCAAGTGTATTTGTGAAAGTTTTTCATGCATACTGAAGCAAGTTTAGACTACAAGGCCTACACCTTCTGACAGTACAGGTCACTAGGATGAAAGTAAAAGTCTTGGTTTATTATAGGTATTTGGAAAAGTGGCCATGAGGGACAACAATCAAATAAACAGAAACAACAATTTTCAGACTTTTCCCCAAGCAGTGCTGCTTCTCTTCAGGTGAGTAAACCTTAACTCTTACTTAATTCATCCCATTTCACTGATCTATGAAAAATGTCGTTCTTGTACCGTGGATATGTTCAAAATGTGTTTGCAGGTGAGAAGCAATTAATTTAGCGTAACAAGCACATACTCTCTGTGGCTGTGTGCTGAGGGTCCAGTGGCACAGCAGGGTTCTAATCAGGTGATACAGACCTGAAGTCATTACAAATATTGTGAAACTTCTCATTTGTGGAGTAATTGTCTTCAGGTAGAGCCCAAACCTAGTCGGCCCTGATATCACTGTGTAGATGCTGAGAAAGGTGAAAAAGGCTGTGCCCTTACTGCAATCTTTGGAAACACAGCTAGCATGACAGTTTGAAAAAATGAGAGGTGGTTGCAAAGATAAATAAACTTCTTCAAATTTGCTGGAGAGGTGACAAGAAGTAGAGGGTGTAACTTGAAGGGAAATAAAAAATAAGGAGTAAGCAAAACTTTATGATGGCAAAGGTAGCTAAATCTTGATGTAGTGGGATTATGGAATCTCCATCGCTAGAGAGCCAAAGAAGAGAGAAAACATTTGCCAGGAGTGCTCCAAAATGTTCTGGAGCAAGGAGGGGGAATGACATGGAACAGGGATGTTTCTAAACGTGACAAGCTCAAGAGCTCTCTTGCCTGTGATTCTGTAACTCCACTTGGCTCCTATGCGTTGGTACTAAGCTTGTTGGCAAAACTGGCAGGTTGTTCCTCGTCTGAGACCACGGGCATCGCCCAATGAGATCTAAGTCACTTTATGCATGTAAAAACTTTTGCCTTTGAAACTAGGTAACAAACATGGCCAAAAATGTCATAAAAGTGTAGTTGTCTTTTAAATTTTTGAATTCATGGGTCTGTACACAGAAATTATCCAACTATGCAAAAAAAAAAAGGCAATAGCACAGGTTAGAGACGAGCATTTCCTCAAGGCAATTCATGTTTTACAAATAAATGCTTTAAACTTTTATGACAGCTTTTCATACATACCACCACTTTTGTACACAGCGGCTCCACTGCAGTATTTAACTTGTGAATCACAGTTTGAGGTTCAAATTTTTACATGCAAGCCTTTATGGTTTATTAGTATACCTTATAAAATGTGCCTGCAATGTCAGATCTGTGCTTGTACTTTCTGAAACATGCTCTATACTTTTTTGATTAGTTCCTGTTCTGAAAAGTTCACAATCTGTCTCCACATTTGTGCTTGTACAGTTTCAAGTATTTTGTCAGACTTTAACAAATCAATACATCTTTAATCCATTTTGATCAAATAATGCCTAATTTATCTTTGTGACCCTATAAAGGTGTGCTACTGGAGAAGCCTGGCAGGAAATCATGCTGGCATGTTTGCCTGGAAAACGCTGTGATCCAGAATCTGATTATAATCCAGGGGAAGAATACACATGTGGAAGCAATTTTGCCATTATATATTTTATCAGTTTTTACATGCTTTGTGCATTTTTGGTGAGTCTAGCTTGTGTTTATTAACAGAAATGGCATTTTGTCTTTCTTCTGAACTAAGAAAGCAGTGATTTCGGAGAATGGTTGAAGATCCCATATCTAAACTATTTTTGCAAGGTTATATTTTTCTATACACAGTCCTAAATCCTGTATTCCATACTGATTTTTATGATGAGGGTGATGAAACACTGGAAAAGGTTGCCCAGAGAGGTGGTAAATGCCCCATCCCTGGAAACGTTCAAGGTCAGGTTGGACAGGGCTCTGAGTAACCTGATTTACTTGAAGATGTCCTTGCTTATTGCAGGGGGATTGGACTAGATGACCTTGAAAGGTCCCTTCCAACCCAAACCATTCTGATTCTAAATTCTCATATGCAAGGACATAACCAGGTGGAGAGATGCTGGTAGTGAGGTGGTTTATCTTGATTTCATTAAAGCATTTGACACTGTCTCATATAGCATCCTTGCAGCTGAACTGAGGAAGTGAGGTCTGGATGATCAGGTCGTGAGGTGGGTTGTGAACTGGCTGAAGGAAA